TGTTCTAGTTCTGTTCTAGTTCTGTTCTAGTTCGTGTTCTAGTTCTGTTCTAGTTCTGTTCTAGTTCTGTTCTAGTTCTGTTCTAGTTCTGTTCTAGTTCTGTTCTAGTTCTGTTCTAGTTCTGTGCTAGTTCTGTTCTAGTTCTGTTTCTAGTTCTGTTCTAGTTCTGTTCCTAGTTCGTTCTAGTTCTGTTCTAGTTCTGTTCTAGGTTCTGTTCTAGTTCTGTTCTTAGTTCTGTTCTAGTTCTGTTCTAGTTCTGTCTAGTTCTGTTCTAGTTCTGTTCTAGTTCTGTTCTAGTTCTGTTCTAGTTCTGTTCTAGTTCTGTTCTAGTTCTGTTCTAGTTCTGTTCTAGTTCTGTTCTAGTTCTGTTCTAGTTCTGTTTTCTGTTCTAGTTCTGTTCTAGTTCTGTTCTGGTCTAGTTCTGTTCTAGTTCTGTTCATCTTATAGTTCTGTTCGAGTTCATGTTCTAGTTCTGTTCTAGTCGTTCTAGTCTGTTCTAGTTCTGTTCTAGGTTCTAGTTCTAGTTCTGTCTAGTTCTGTTCTAGTTCTGTTCTAGGTTCTGTTCTAAGTTCTGTTCTATTCTGTGGGGGGGCTAGTTCTGTTCTAGTTCTGTTCTAAGTTCTGGTTCTAGTTCTGTTCTAGTTCTGTTCTAGTTCTGTTCTAGTTCTAGTTCTGTTCTAGTTCTGTTCTAGTTTGTTCTAAGTTGTGTTCTATTTCTGTTCTAAGTTCTGTTCTAGTTATGGTTCTAGTTCTGTCCTGTTCTAGTTCTTTTCTAGTTCTGTTCTAGTTCGGTTCTGTTCTTTTTTTGTTCTGTTCTAGTTCAGTTTTAATTAAGTTCTGGAATCACATCTCCATTTACAATGATAAGCTTTTAAATTCTTTAAATCCTGCCAAGTTAACAGCATTCTTTGTCCGGTTGTTCACTTTTCCTTTCTTTAAACAATTTTAACTACAATTGATTTATTTCTTCTCAGCCAACTGCATTTATTCTTCTGTTTTAAACATGATTTCGAAACAATTATATTAATTACAACATATTCCTTTTATTATCTTTTCCTGTTATTTTTTGTTATTTCTTGTCGTTATTGTCGTCCAACGTTCAACACCAATCAATGTCATTATTGTTTGTCATAATTTTCTGTAAAAATGACTGTTAAAAAAAAAGTAGAGAAACTACAGCAAAATATGGCAATGCAACTTAAATATATTTATATAGAATTTCAATATACATACAATATAACAAATTGTTGTTTTTTTTTTTTGTAGATTTAAATCGGAAAAAGGATATAAAACTTGTACATGTTTAAGTGCGTGCTTTTTTGTGTATGTGTGAGTGATTTTTCGTATTTATTATTTTAATTTGTGATTGTATCAGTTTAACATGTTGTTAACATTATAACAGTAAATATGTATCAGTATCCAATGTAAAAAAAGATATTGAGGGGGAGAGGGAAAAGAGCGATCCTGTATTTAATGGTTCTTTACTTTGCCCGTATAATTTATTTCGTTTTATTCCTTAATGATTTTCAACAAAAAAAAGTTGTACAACAAAAATGGACAATTTAAATATGTTGACAAAAGAAATTGTGCGCACGAACAAAAAAAAAATCCACTTAATTGGTGTCGATTAACAAGTGATTGAACTAAATGTAAAATAAGGAAGATATTTTGTCATAAAAAAAATGTTCATGAATTAATGAAAATTACTTTTAAAATTTTAATTTGACCTTTTTTTTTAATTTAAAAATAGTAAAAATCTATTAAAGGCATTTAAAGGTAAAATTTTCACTTTTTAGGGATTTAATTTCTGGATTTATTTACTGTGATGATCTTTATTCAAGTTGCCTTTAATGGTTCTACCGCTGTAGGACACTAACCGACAAAAAACTACACTGGCAAAATATTTAATAAAGAAAAACCTCAGTGTTGACATTTCGTGAAAAATTTAAATACATTATACATATGTATGTATGTAAGTATGTATATATTGACAAATATCATGGTTTATTTGAGCTCAATACAAACACAAAAATATAAAACGCGTTAATTAAAATAAATATAACTATGTAAATATGTATGTATGTATGTACTTATAAATATAGACTTTTGGTGTAATTGTTTAATTTTTTAAATGGAAAATATGTATGAATGTATGTATATGTGGACGAAAAAGTACTATATTTAAAACTCATTAACACTATTAAAATAAGTAATTTGATTGAATGAAGGCATCCGGGAAAATGTACAAAATGTGCTTAAAAAGTATGGGATAAGAAATTTTGCAGGATGGGACCCAAAAGTATGTAAAGTAAAGGAGTTTTCCATACAAGTAAGTACTACAAGTAATTACTAGTAATGTAATTGTAATTGAAGACTACCAAATACAATTACTTGTCATTGGAATTCATGTACTAACTAACTAACTACTGACTAACTACTAACTACTAACTAACTAACTAACTAACTAACTAACAACTAACTAACTAACTAACTAACTAACTAACTACTAACTACACTAACTAACTAACTAACTAACTAACTACTAACTAACTAACTAACTAACTAACTAACTAACTAACTAACTAACTAACTAACTACTAACTAACTAACTAACTAACTAACTAACTAACTAACTACTAACTAACTAACTAACTAACTAACTAACTAACTAACTAACTAACTAACTAACTAACTAACTAACTAACTAACTAACTAACTACTAACTAACTAACTAACTAACTAACTAACTAACTAACTAACTAACTAACTAACTAACTAACTAACTAACTAACTAACTAACTAACTAACTAACTAACTAACTAACTAAATACTAAACTAACTAACTAACTAACTAACTAACTACTAACTAACTAACTAACTAACTAACTAACTAACTAACTAACTACTAACTAACTAACTAACTAACTAACTAACTAACAACTAACTAACTAACTAACTAACTAACTAACTAACTAACTAACTAACTAACTAACTAACTACTAACTAACTAACTAACTAACTAACTAACTAACTAACTAACTACTAACTAACTAACTAACTACTAAACTAACTAACTAACAACTAACTACTAACTAACTAACTAACTAACTAACTAACTAACTAACTAACTAACTAACTAACTAACTAACTAACTAACTAACTAACTAACTAACTAACTAACTAACTAACTAACTAACTAACTAACTAACTAACTAACTAACTAACTAACTACTAACTAACTAAACTAACTAACTAACTAACTAACTAACTAACTAACTAACTAACTAACTAACTAACTAACTAACTAACTAACTAACTAACTAACTAACTAACTAACTAACTAACTAAACTAACTAACTAACTAACTAACTAACTAACTAACTAACTAACTAACTAACTAACTAACTAACTAACTAACTAACTAACTAACTAACTAACTAACTACTAACTAACTAACTAACTAACTAACTAACTACTAACTAACTAACTAACTAACTAACTAACTAACTAACTAACTAACTAACTAACTAACTAACTAACTAACTAACTAACTAACTAACTAACTAACTAACTAACTAACTAACTAACTAACTAACTAACTAACTAACTAACTAACTAACTAACTAACTAACTAACTAACTAACTAACTAACTACTAACTAACTAACTAACTAACTAACTAACTACTAACTAACTAACTAACTAACTACTAACTAACTACTAACTACTAACTAACTAACTAACTAACTAACTAACTAACTACTAACTAACTACTAACTAACTAACTAACTAACTACTAACTAACTAACTAATTCACTAACTAAATAACTACTTCTGTTCTAGTTCTTGTTCTAGTTCTTGTTCTAGTTCTTCTTCTAGTTCTTGTTCTAGTTCTTGTTCTAGTTCTAGTTCTTGTCCTAGTTCTTGTTCTAGTTATGTTGTAGCTCTCTTCTTGTTCTGTTCTAGTTCTGTTCTAGTTCTGTTCTAGTTCTGTTCTAGTTCTGTTCTAGTTCTGTTCTAGTTCTGTTCTAGTTCTAGTTCTGTTCTAGTTCTGTTCTAGTTCTGTTTTAGTTCTGTTCTAGTTCTGTTCTAGTTCTGTTCTAGTTCTGTTCTAGTTCTGTTCTAGTTCTGTTCTAGTTCTGTTCTAGTTCTGTTCTAGTTCTGTTCTAGATCTGTTCTAGTTCTGTTCTAGTTGTGTTCTAGTTCTGTTCTAGTTCTGTTCTAGTTCTGTTCTAGTTCTGTTCTAGTTCTGTTCTAGTTCTGTTCTAGTTCTGTTCTAGTTCTGTTCTAGTTCTGTTCTAGTTCTGTTCTAGTTCTGTTCTAGTTCTGTTCTAGTTCTGTTCTAGTTCTGTTCTAGTTCTGTTCCAGTTCTGTTCTAGTTCTGTTCTAGTTAACAATTATTAACTCAGTTATTGCTATTTGGACCGCAAAAAGTACCAAATGCTTTAAAAATTTTACTTTATATAAAGTTTTGTATTTTTCTTCAGTGTTTAAGCAAATTTTTCCGTTAAAATTTTCGTTTTATTTTTCATTTTATTTCATTTGATTTGAACACATTTTAATTTAACGCCTGACTTAATAACACATACAAAGTATGTACGTACGCTCGAGGTTTTTTTTTATATCACAAATGTCTTAAAGATGTCAAGTTTAAAAGAAAGAAGAACTGAACATCAGCAGACATTAAAGCCGGTAATACCCGATGTAATGCAAAGACGAGGTCACAGGGATTTATATTGTAAAATTTGTTATTGATAAACAATTGTATTACCAAGGTTATAGAAAGAAGATGAATTGTTATTGATGTAAATTATTGATTTTATAAAAAGGGATTTTAGTTTCCCTATTGGGTGTCTGGCTGCCACAAAGGCGGGATTATATTTTGATGGTTAAGAAGAAAAACATTGAGTTAAAAGTGCAATAAATATAAGAAAACTTTTATATTGTTATTTGTTGGTTTTAAATAATATAAAAATATTATAAAATTACGGGTTTACATACCTTGTTGTGTTTTCACTTGTACTGGCGTGGACATTGGACCGGCCCCCATGGAGGTATATGCCTGTACACGTACCGTGTATATGGCATGGGGTGTTAAGTCAGATATTGTTGTCAGTTCACTGTTATCAACCATTTGAGAATCCCAAGACGCTTCTGGTTGATTAGGATTTGTAGTATAGTAAACTTTATAACCCTGAAAGAGAAAGAAAGAAATATTGTTAAATTTTCTTTTAAACTTTTGACAATTCCTGCTTATGCTGTAGAGTTTTTTTTTTTAATATTTTGTTTTCCTATTACCGCCAATTGTAAAATCAATTAAAAGTTTAATTAAATGCAAATTGTTTATTGATTAAAAGTTTTGTTAAGCTAACACAATAACATACAATTTGTTATGTAAACTAAATTTATGTTGGGTTAATATACATATCTTTTCAAAAATCACTTTATTGTAGCAAAATTGTGTTTATTTATTATTATTTTTTTTTTTGGAATAATTTATTATATTAAAATGTGAACAACATTTTTTTCCTAATATTAAGTTTTAGTTATTTTTGTCATACATGTTTATGTATGCATTATTTATAAAATTAAATATTTTAGTTTTTTTTTTATTTGCTCTGGGAAATAGTTTATGCAATTGTGGGGAAAATTTTAAATTAAATTAAATTTATTAAAAATGCATAATTTTTAAATAAGCAGTAAAAATATATCTAAAAATATTATAAAAAAATATTTGAATATAAACCAAAAGAGGACATATTTTTTAACAAACACAAAAACCTCATTAATTTATTGATTCCTCTTTGAATAAAAAACTTACACATGACCTCATTTATATTTACCACAATATTTGTAAATCAAACTCTTCTAACGAAATAAACCAAACACCAATATCAAAAAATCTTTTGCAGTTAAACAAATTTTGTACGAGTAAAAATATCATAAAAATAAAATAATTAACAACAACAATACTCAAGCACTTTAATTAAATTTAAAGTTTGTTTTGTTGTTTACGACACGGTGTTTAAACAACACTCAAAGCCAATAAACGGAAGTAAAATTGCTGTTAAAGTCAAGCAGGCAGAAACAGACTCACACACACACACAAAGCAAAAGTTTACACATATGCACACGAAAGGATACTACAAATAAATTTACATAAAAAAAAACTAAAAGTAACAAAGTATGAGTTTTAACACCTTTAGGAGCAAAAAGATTTTATAAATAAATATACATACATATAAAGAAATCTACCTATACATATAAATGTTTACAAACATATGCATACAACTTTAAAGTCCAAAAGGTGTTAGTGCTTTCATTTAATTTAATTACCAATATTCTATATAGATTTACAATAAATACATATAAATACATGCACACACCTAAACACAAATGTAAATGAGTGTGATTGAGTGTTCATATGTATATGACAATATATGAAAACTGGCAAAGCATACAGAAGAACACTTGCATGTAAAACAGCCATACTTTGTAAAATTCATTGATTTAAATCGTTTATATTAAGTAGTATGTTGATATGTTATCATGTTAACTTACAGTAATGAAAATAGTTAAAGAGTCATTTTTCAAAACTAACTAGAAAAGGACTAGAACTGAACAGCAAACTAAATAGAACTGAACTAGAACTGACCTAGATCTGAACTAGAACTGAACTAGAACTAAACTAGAACTGAACTAGAACTAAACTAGAACTGAACTAGAACTGAACTAGAACTGAACTAGAACTGAACTAGAACTGAACTAGAAACTGAACTAGAATGAAACTAGAAAACCCTTGAAAAGAAACTAGAACTGAACTAGAACTGAACTAGAACTGAACTAGAACTGAACTAGAACGAAACTGAACTAGAACTGAACTAGAACTGAACTAGAACTGAAAAACTGAACTAGAACTGAACTAGAACTGAACTAGAACTGAACTAGAACTGACTAGAACTGAACTAGAACTGAACTAGAACTGAAACTAGAACTGAACTAGAACTGAACTAGTAGAACTGAACTAGAACTGAACTAGAACTGACCTAGAACTGAACTAGAACTGAACTAGAACTGAACTAGAACTGAACTTGAACTGAACTAGAACTGAAACTAGAACTGAACTAGAACTGAACTAGAATGAACTAGAATGAACTAGAACTGAACTAGAACTGAACTAGAAACTGAAACTAGAACTTACTAAACTTAAATAGAACTGAACTAGAACTGAACTAGAACTGAAACTAGAACTGAACTAGACTGAACTAGAACTGACGAGACTGAACTAGAACTGAACTAGAACTGAACTAGAACGAACGAGAACTGAACTAGAACTGAACTAGAACTGAACTAGAACTGAACTAGAACTGAACTAGAACTGACTAGAACTGAACTAGAACTGAACTAGAACTGAACTAGAACGGAACTAGAACTAGACAGAATGAACTAGAACTGAACTAGAACTGAACTAGAACTGAACTAGAACTGAACTAGAACTGAACTAGAACTGAACTAGAAACTGAACTAGAACTGAACTAGAACTGAAACTAGAACTGAAACTAGAACTGACTAGAACTGAACTAGAACGACTAGAACTGACTAGAACTGAACTAGAACTGACTAGAACTGAACTAGAATGACTAGAACTGAACAGAACTGAACTAGAACTGAACTAGAACTGAACTAGAACTGAACTAGAAACTGACTAGAACTGAACTAGAACTGAAACTAGAACTGAACTAGAACTGAACTAGAACTGAACTAGAACTGAACTAGAACCTGAACTAGAACTGAACTAGAACTGAACTAGAACTGAACTAGAACTGAACTAAGACCTAGAACTGAGCTAGAACTGAACTAGAACTGAACTAGAACTGAACTAGAACTGAACTAGAACTGAACTAGAACTGAACTAGAACTGAACTAGAACTGAACTAGAACTGAACTAGAACTGCACTAGAACTGAACTAGAACTGAACTAGAACTGAACTAGAACTGAACTAGAACTGAACTAGAACTGAACTAGAACTGAACTAGAACTAGACCTTGACTAGCAGTCCTCATAATCAAGAATAGGATTTGATGTCTTAAGTGTAGCATAACGGAATTATATTTTTTACTCATACGACTAGTAGTCCTCCTTGCTAACTTAGTACAAAGCATCATATAGTGCTACAAGTAGTATGAAAAATATTTTGAGAAACTATTCAAAAATATTACTCATACAACCTGTGAGTTTTACTATTGGATTTTTTGCAGTTTGTGAAACATTGTGTATGTATGTACTTGCGTAGTTTCCAAACATTTTATATTTTTGCTTGTGTATATAATTTTATTATATTTCTTTTGAGTATACCTAAAATATACTCCACACTATTGATTACAGCAAGTAAACAACATTTTAAACAAGTTACATGTTTGTCAATGTAGTTGTACTCTGTACGACTTTCTTGCCTTAATTTAGCAACTTGACTTATAAATGTACTCTTGTTGTATATTTTTCCAATAGTTTGAAATTCAAAAGCAAGCACACATTTATACACTGCAATAACAACTAAAAAGGACTAAGCTGTATAAACATCTTCAACAAGACAAACAAGTAATGAATATGTCAAAGACACACAAATGCACACTTGCATTCAGTCACATAAGTACATATGGATGTAAGTAACAATGTTTGCATTTGATAATAAAAAAAAATTATTACATAGACGATGTGTTTGTTTGTGTGTTTGTTTTCTAAAATGCACTAAAAGTTTAAACAACTACAACTAACCATTATTTGAGCAATAAATTAAAGTCATAAAGACTCATATGCATTTAACTTCAATACACTTATACAGACATGTACATAATAAATGTGTATGTAAAATGAAGGTACATATACATGCACACTATTCACTAGACTTATACATACTCATGCAACTATTAAGTACTAGTAAAGTAGTTTTGGTTGTAGTTTTTGTTGCTACTTTTCTTGTTGTTTTTGTTGTTATAAAAACCAATACATATAAAGGCTTTTAAACATCAATAACAAAATTTAGCATAGAATATTTTCCATGTCCATTTACTTTTACTTAAAATATAATTTTACCTACACAAACATACTATTTCACACACACACACACATGTATGTATGTGTGTATATGTTGGACATGTTTATACATATATTCATAAAACAAACATCATGTTTTGTATACATAAATATATTTAAGCAGGAATTTATGTCTATATCAGAATACACGAGTGCTTACGAGGACTGAAAAAAAAGAAACAAATCTAGTACCAGATCTAGAACTGATCTAGTGAACTTGAATTGAACTACTAGAAACTAGAACTGAACTAGAACTGAACTAGAACTGAACTAGAACTGAACTAGAACTGAACTAGAACTGAACTAGAACTGAACTAGAACTGAACTAGAACTGAACTAGAACTGAACTAGAACTGAACTAGAACTGAACTAGAACTGAACTAGAACTGAACTAGAACTGAACTAGAACTGAACTAGAACTGAACTAGAACTGAAGTAGAACTGAACTAGAACTGAACTAGAACTGAACTAGAACTGAACTAGAACTGAACTAGAACTGAACTAGAACTGAACTAGAACTGAACTAGAACTGATCTAGAACTGAACTAGAACTGATCTAGAACTGAACTAGAACTGAACTAGAACTGAACTAGAACTGAACTAGAACTGAACTAGAACTGAACTAGAACTGAACTAGAACTGAACTAGAACTGAACTAGAACTGAACTAGAACTGAACTAGAACTGAACTAGAACTGAACTAGAACTGAACTAGAACTGAACTAGAACTGAACTAGAACTGAACTAGAACTGAACTAGAACTGAACTAGAACTGAACTAGAACTGAACTAGAACTGAACTAGAACTGAACTAGAACTGAACTAGAACTGAACTAGAACTGAACTAGAACTGAAGTAGAACTGAACTAGAACTGAACTAGAACTGAACTAGAACTGAACTAGAACTGAGCTAGAACTGAACTAGAACTGAACTAGAACTGAACTAGAACTGAACTAGAACTGAACTAGAACTGAACTAGAACTGAACTAGAACTGAACTAGAACTGAACTAGAACTGAACTAGAACTGAACTAGAACTGAACTAGAACTGAACTAGAACTGAACTAGAACTGAACTAGAACTGAACTAGAACTGAACTAGA